GGGACTCGATTAAAATCCTTTTTTGGGAGGTCCAGATAAATGCAGTCAACCCAATCTTCTCTTTCTGTAAAAATCTCTGTGGCTCTATTATAGAAACTTAAGAATTCTTACACAGGATATTCCTGTTCAAAAACCATACTGTCTGTTGTTATATCACTTCTCTCCAGGTGTTCTGTGCATTTGATTTTAATTATTTTTTCTAATGCTTGACCACAACGCTTGTCAATGACACAGGTCTGTAATTAAAAGGGTCTTCTCTGCTACCATTTTTGTTGATTGGAACTATGTTTGTCTCTCCACACAAATATCTGCCAAGACTCCTCTACACTAAGATGACTGAAAAATCAATTGAAGCGGAGTGCTGAGCTCAGACACACATTTCCTCAGAACCCAATGTGGCACTCCATCAAGGGCCACTGCCTTGTTACTATTTAGTTCCTTGAGCATTTCTTCCACTTCGTCTCGAGACACCTCAATGTACTCTATGATATTTTCAGAAATTCATGTTGTGTCTGGTTCTCTGAAGATTTCATTTTGCACAAACATACTTTGGAACTGTTCCTTTAGTGTTTCACACATTTCCTTTTCATTCTCTGAATCCATTCCCCATTTTGAACCTCTGAATTCTATCCTTTACTTGCAGTGTGCTTTTTATAAATTTATAGAATAAATCTGGCTCAGATTCAACTGCTTCTACTGTCGATGTGGATGGGATTATCCCTAGAGGAGGTTGAGCTACACCCTGAGATAAACCCTGTCCCAACTTGAAAACCCTTAGACACTTCAGAGCCAGAACCAGGGAGGGGGTAGGGGTAGGGAGACTAGAAGCAGGGCAAACCACATCTGCAGGTAAAGGAAGAGTGGGCATGGACTTAGTTCAAATGGAGATAACCAACACCATCAATTCCAGATTCCGAAACACCATAAGAGCCAACTTTGGGCCATACAACCAATCACAATGTCATGAACACCTAACTCTAGCAAACCTAGCTCTGAAAATTGCAGCTGCCTGAAAAGCTTCTGCATTAGAAGCTGAATCAGTCAATGCAGGGACCCAGAGGGAACAAACTGCACAAAACTCAAGATTGTAGGTGTCACCAACCTAACAGGCAGTATGGCAGAGGCAGAAAGAATGACCATCATCTGGTAGCAAAGATGATGGGCACCAATCAAACTTGCATATGGTGAGTGTAGGCTTAACAGGCCAAGCCAACCATGCCAAAGAGCTATGAAAGGATCATCAGGACCTGAAGACAGCTAGCCAAGCAGGACACACTGGCACTAAGGCTGCTCGTAAGAAGAATAGATGCCAAGTGCAGCCAAAACAACCTGGCTACGACTGGCATCTGTGATGTGCTGTATAAACAAACATGCAAGTCCTAGAGCCCCCCATCACAACCAACGGAATGTCCCAGCCAAGAGCCCAGATAGAGAAGTCAAAGACTCGTGAATAGCCCCTAAGCGAGGCCGTCTGCCACTATGGCCTGGCCTGTCAGAGGCAAACTCCCAAAAACATCAAAAATATCTTTCTCAGAGCAAAGGCAATGCTAGCGGGCATCCTGGGAAGGAGCCCAGAACACAACAAAAGCCAAGCTCACAACAAGCCAAATAGAAAACACCCACATGAAGCAAAAACTAAAACATAGAACAATGCAAATGGCCCCAACAGGAAGTCCAAGGACTGCCAGCACTTAGCTTGAAGTAAAGGGGCTTGCCACATCTAAAAGAACTGGAAGAATTGTGTCCTAGCAGGATATCAGCAAAAGAACTGGCAGTAAAGATGGTTGCACGAGGAAGCTGGACCACATGGTGGTAGCATTCGGTACTATGAGTTTTGGTTTAATGCTAATTTTGAATGTTTCTCTTGTTCTGAGTAAATCATTTATAGAGATGCTTGCTATTTTTTAGGATTTGATCTTTCTTAACCTTCAGTTGTTTATAAAGCTTCACTGACTTTCTGGATGCTTTCACGGTGTAGTGGCAAATTGTCACTTGTTCTCTGCACCTCTATTAGGGAAGGCCAGGTTTTGGCTCTGCTCCTCGGTACACCAGACAGTATTCCCCATATGTGATGTGACCCATCTGCATGGAGCAATCCTAGAAAGATGTCTTCAGAGAGCCGCTTGGGGCTTCCCCAGAAAAGGACAGAATGCATTGGGAACACACATGACCTCTTACTGAGCCAGTAAAGAAAAAAATATCCAAGTTTTTTTTAGTGATTTTTCATGTACTGTATTGTATACAAACAGCATTATGTTTGCTCATTGGTTGTGTTTATAAGCTATTATATGTTTGGGAATACTTATAACCTAATTTTGAGTTACTTGGACTATATTATATATATTAGTAAAGTGAGATTTTTTTCACAAAAAATAATGACAGCTGGAAAGAGCAGTCCTTTTCCTTTTAGAAATGTTAATAACAAAAACAGTGAATAGCCTGGTATGAAAAAATTTTACATGATGGGGAACAGGGCTCAAGGGTTAAACATTTTAAATAGCCAAGAGGTATTTGAAAACATTTGAGACTCAGAAAAGATAATGTTTCATTGTAAATAAAAAATACATCTCAAATTTGTATCTGGGAGTGTTAATTAGTCTATACAAAATTTCCCATAATTTAAATTTTGTATAATATTGTAAAATAAATATATGTATAGGCATATATACAACATCCACAGGGGTCAGGCCCAAGAGCAAATGGATAACCCACATTTGTGGATACCAGGGCTGTTTCTAAAGTTAATAAAATTAAATAAATGCTATTACTTACCAGTGTTGGTTGGTGTTCTTGAGAAGTTGAAACTGATGTAGAAGCAGGATGAAATGTTACTGGTGAAGTGCTAACTGCCCAGTTCACTGGAACCTAGGGAGAAAGTGAAATATCTGTACCTGAAACAGCTGCCTCAGTGTCAGGTCTCTTAATACCCATCTGCCAAAAGCTGTTAAATGTGGGCTGTTTCATGCCCACTGCTCATTTGAAATGTCCATAGCCAGAACTGCAGATGTATCACATTAAGTTTTTCTCTCCATAAACTCATTAACTTTTCAAGCAGCCCTTAAGCTCATCCATTGTTTCATTAGACTCTTCAATTTGCACAGGCACTCTGTAGTCACTATCCTCGGGCGACAGTGTTTATATCTTTCTCATTGTTCCTCTAGCATGGTGGCTATCATTAGTGAAATTACACATCTAGAAAACCCACATTTATCACTGCCTATCTCTTTTTCTCGAGGCACTTTGGTTCCAGTAATCAAAAGTTCTAAACTAATTCTCTCTTCTATCCATTTCATTATTGACATCATTAGGCCTCCTAACCACAATGGCAGATTAAGAAAACATTGGTGGTGTGGGACAAAGCTTCTTCCAATTATCCCCTCCTCAAAGTTGAACTTTGTGCGCTTAGCAATTGCTATCTGCACAGTACAAATGTGGGGGTATAATCACACTTTCTGATTATGATACCATGCCATATAGCCTGTGGCTACAAAGGAGTATGCAAATACATTATACTGTACCCAGTTTGGCCAAGTGATTACAGTACTGGACACACCAAGGGGCACAGAGGTCCTGACCGACCAGGTTCAAATCCTTCAGGGATCAAGAGTTTTCTGATGCATGTTAGCTTGGGGACCATTCAAGCTTGATGCACATATGATACTCGACGGCCCCAGCATGATGGAGTGATTTGATGAAATATTATCAAACTTGGTATAACTTGTTTATACTTAGTTTGATAGCTCCTTCTTAACTTAGCTAGCTCTGTCTCTATCAAATAACTGTGGGTTCTTTATCAGTGTATGTGTGGATGAGCTTTAAGAAATTCTCACCATCATAGCATGTTTTGTTTCATGAAATGCAAAACAAGGAATATAAAACAAAATTATATTTTTAAAATCTGCATTTGGCAACTTATATATTCCAACATTTTGATGACAACTTCATCAATTTTATCAAACTAAACTCTCTTATTAGGCACATAATGCAATACTTATGAGGGCATTATTGCAATGTTAGAAGACTAATGTAAAATCTAGTAGGGTATAGCTAAGGATGGAGAATGCTAGAGTTTTTTCTAGCTGGCTCAAATGTATCAGCTGAAAAAGGGAAACACTGAAGAATTCCAACAAGAAAAAAAAAGAGTTAGAAATAACCACCCTAGACACCATCTATTTTATCCAAACTTCAGGGTTAACATTTGAATATGTGAAAATTTAACGTTTCATTATAATTTTATACTACAGTATTATGACATTAAAATAATGAATAAGATTGAAAAAGGTTTGAGTGCAATTACAGTACGTATTTGTAAATAAGTCACTGTATTAAATATTTTTAAAAATTTCAGACAATTTCAAACAGGAAAGGTAAGGTAAATGTTTGAAAATGGGACACTTGAATGCGTCTGTGCTCAGTGACCTGTCAGTTGGGTTATGGCTTTAGACTAGAACTCTTAACATAGAAAATAAAATTAATGGCCAAGTTGTACATATGTTGCATTGATGACCCAGCTGGTGAGAGCTTGGCTGTGTTCATGTGTTGCACGTTCCAATGTTTACTGTTGTAGTGACTGCTCATCACCACATGCATTGCCTAGTTTTTATCTTTTAAAATATTTTGGTTTGGAATGTATGTGCATTGCAGAAGCGCTGTATATTCTAGCCAGCAGTAACAGCAGCAGCAGCAGCAGTTGAGGTGCATTAGCGGCATAGCATGAGGGTGTCGCATGCCTATTTTTTGTCTTGTGATATAAGTTTGACAATATATTTACTTTCGGGAGAGTCAAAGCCGGCTTCTTGCAGTGTTTTATGATTGTATTGTTGACTTGTGTAGCCATAGCTACTTGATCAGTTGATTACAAACTAACATCTTTAATAAATTTGACAAGTGTTAGCAGTTTGAACAATGTGTGGAGATCACTTTATTGTGGTAAGTGGTGGCGTGTAGCCGGTATTGGCTCCCCGAGGTGTGGCCACAGCTGATATTTTCCTTCCTCACAGCAGCCCGGTGTTGTCGCGGGCCCTCACCTGGCATCCACCGCCGGAGTCGGAGCCAATGGACAGCCGCGCCTACGTGCAGAGAACGCACTCGACGCTTTGTTAGACGAACTGCAGACCTTTGCCCGGCCACCATCAGAAGCCAGTAGTCGCAAAAGTAGTGTGGATGTGACCCCTGCAACACCCCTGGCCACTGTTGCACCTGCCTCCTTCACTGTCACTTCCACCCTTACTACCAGCACTGGAGTCAGGCGTCTACCATCCTTTCCCAGCTCAGACTCTCAGTCTTCCCCGGTCAAGACACCTGCAACTGTGTTTCCTGGGGCATCCAGCACTCTCCCAAGGGCTGCCAGTCAGGCACCCCCTCCCCCACCTCGAGATGAGCACCGCCTCAGTTTCACATCAACCACATCATCAGGTTCAGCTAGGTCATCACCACGAGGAAGTATAAGTGGAGAATTACACCGTTTACCACCACCACCACCTCCACGTACATCCTCTAGGTCACCAATGCTGTCACCATCATCACCTATAAGTCCAGCTCCAAGATCAGCATCAGTACCTCCAGGTGGCATTGTGGCCACAATGGTGGGTGGGGTGCTGAGGAATGCTGAAGGTCGTGAACTGTATGGTCCTGTGCTGCGTCAGCGGCCTCCACTAGGGCGGGGTTCATTTAGTGAAGAATCTACAGCTTCGTCTGCCTCCACTAATAGTTCCACTAGTAGTGCTAAGGCAGGCCAGCTATCCTCCAATAGCAGCAGCACAGAGAGTGTCAATTCTCAGGAAGGTGCAGCAGTGTCACGTCAGCAAAATACCAGTAATGTGCCTCCAACACCACCACCCAAACAGAGGCAAGAAAATCTGGAGCAAAGACACCTGGAGCTTTTGAGGCGGCAGAAGCAGCTACAAGAACAATACCAGAGGTTACAGTCACTGCAGAGGTCAGGAGGCCGTCCAACACCTTCAAATATAGACCTAAAAAAAACAGGGAGTGAAAGCAACTTGACAGCACGGTTGGGGCTGTCTCTGGCTCCTGCAGCACACGGGTCTCTTTCCAACCTCACTTCCCCCACCCCGTCACATGTCTGCAACACAAACACCCTCCCCAATCCTAAGACCTCTTCTGCCATTAGCACAGGCGGTGGTGACACTCATCTAACCACCAAACGCAGTAGTGGAGGCTTAGTCGAGACAGACATTCTCTGAAGTGAAGTACGTCTATTGATAGGCCAAACATGACGAAGTCCTTCCCTCTCTAACAGGATTAGGAAATGTAAATATGTAAAGTTTATACATACATAAGAACTGCCAGCAGAAATAATTAAGGAAAATTTACCTTGCAATATACGCTTCTTTTAGGACTCATTTTGCATCGTTTGACAATGCATAATTTTTTGTCATGGTTATTTAGAAGTTGATCTGTCAAAACAAATCAAAACCTTTTTGCCTACATGTTTTCTTAGATAAACCAAGAGTAAGTTTTTGTTTTTTTTTTAACTTAGAGTTGAGACCCCAAAATGTCAGATACAACTATTGCTCAACACCCAGGACATGAAAGGCTCTCATATATGAAAGCTTCAGTTACAGCTTTTCTCTGGGCTGACATTGTACATCAGACAGCATTCTTGGCAGGCTGAAACTATGCATTATAAAGTAGTTTTATCATGTTAAAACTAAAATCAGAGGATGAATCTGACAAACCTGTTGATAAGCTGTAACTAGAGTTTTCATGAACTGTAAAGAAGTGCTAAAATTATGTTAAGATGTTTGCAAGTCTGTGATCTTAGGGTGGCTGCCTTGTGGTTGTCATTATTTCACACTTCAATTTCATATATCATATCAGTAAGGAAAGGAAACCTTATATAATGAAAATATGGTAAGTAAGTATCAGTCTGAGCACTCCTAGTGTGTAATATCTCAATACTGTAATTTGAGTAATAAATACTGGTGAAACCTTGTCAATTATTATATTTAGTGAAGCAGACATTTTCAAAGTCAATTCTGACGATATAAGTATAATAAGAATTAAATTTTACAGTACTTATTTTATGTAAAATATATTTAAAGAACCCAAAATACAGGTTACAAGAGTCAAATTCAAATGATCAAATTTTGATTAGTTAAAATAAAAAATGTGAGATACAGTTCTGTGTTTTACCATGCGATATTGCTGTCAATGACTGATACTTGACTAATCATTTTCAATATAACTGATTTTAATTATAATTAAATTTTTAAACATCAATTTTAATATAGCCAGTCTTTTCATTTCCTTGTAGATATTGCATTATAGTATGCAAGCATTCTAGTGTACAAGTGACCAGATATCATGGTAACAAAATTAATCAAGTCACATCACACATGAATGCTAAAAAGTATATATATGTGAAAGTAATTCTGCAGAATAAGTGGTGCCACCTGCTACCTGAACTATCTGCTGTAGACTAGCTGAGGTAATCCAAGAGTCTGTTGCAGGGACTGACTGGCTAAGCTAATCTCCTGAGGCACCACTTACTGCAGAGACCAGATAATTACCTAATTCCAGAGTTACTACCTAGTGCATGGATTGGCTCGGGTAGTCTCCCGAGGTACCGTCTGTAGCAGGGACTAGATCAGCTTGGCCTCCAGAGGTGGCACCTACTGCCGTGGCTGGTTCAACTTATCCCTAAAGGTACCATCTACTACTGGAGCTGACAGCTACTCACTAGAAGTGCCACCTGCTACAAGAGTTGGATCAGCTAGTTCCTATATGTGCCATCTGATGCAGTGAAGGGTTCAACTAGCCCCCGCCAGAGGTGCCATCTGCTGCTTTGGCTAGTTCAGCTAGTCTAAATAAGGCACACCTTTTACAAGAACTGATTTAACTAGTGTCTAGGAGGTGGCATCATTAATCATACCATATCATTTTTTACTCTTACTACAGCTTCAGTAGCTCGTAGCATCTTTCCAAGAATAAGTATTTTGCATTCTGGGTTTCTTGGATATAAAATATTGTAATATTTTATGGAATAACCTTTCTATAGGATTGACAGACTTGCAGTTTATTTTACCTTCCAACTAGAAATTACAAATTTATTTTTTGTAAATAGATTTTAAAAGTGCATATTATTTATTTTTTTAACAAATATTTTTCTTTTCATTAACCCTGAAAAATACATTTGAAAATCTGTGTTTGTACAGTGATGTGTTATTTGAATTGAATTGAATTCAAAAAGAGGTACAGATGTAACAAAAACACACAGTCAAGACTTACCTCTGATTGTCTTGATTAAAAAAAAACATGGAAAATCAGGATTAACAGTGTCAACAAACAAAAAATCACCAAATATATTACAAATTATAATTATATTATTATAATTATAATTAAATCAGCTGTCGATTGTACTGTACAGTAAAGTACACTGTATGAAAAGCTTATTTCTAATCAGACACTTGATTACTCCCTTAAGCAAGCCCTGCTGTTTCCATGGGCAGGACAATGCACATGGAGTCAAACCTGGTCAACATTCTACATTGGCACAACTGGGATCTTTTCAAATATCTTGTCATATTATACTGATGCAAAGGAAAAACTGTCGATTACTTAATCTAACCTGGAATGACCTCGAGAAGGTTCATTCATGTACAGGACACTCAAAAGCTCTTTTAAAGCATTACTTGGCATCACAAGTTCATCCAGCCAGTACAGTACTCTCAATAGCAGGTAGCCGGCTCACCCAATTGCAACCTCCACCTACTACCAAGTGGCAGCACCAACATGTAAGCAGGGCTTCCTGACACATTCAACCTGACATGATTCCCTTTTAAAGTATAAAGAAATAAAGAAAAAAAATAAGAGGAAAAAGGTGAATACAAGTTTCAAGCTTAGAAAAAGGATTTTATATACTGTAAATTCGAACGTCTGTATCTCTGAGCTATACTGCTCAGTTGCTTCCTTAGGCATGAGTCAAACTAGAAGGGTTAGGCTACCAGACATGCAGAAAAGAGCTTGACTCACCTATGCTGCAGAATGAAGCGAGATGAAGATACAGGAAAGTTACCTATTTCCCAGGAAGTCCAAAGTATCCAAGCACACAGACACTAATCCAAAGAATTGATCATGTGGAAAAAGAAAAAAAAAAGCTGCTCAAAGGCAACACACAAGCAGTGCAGGCAGGCAGTGCAGGCAGATGGATGTTCTAAAATATAAATGTAGTATACAAACAACAACAACCAAAAATTTATCTCTAAGGCCAGGATTGGACATGGTGAAAAAGGATGGCAAACTTCAATAAAAACAAGGGCTTTGGGTGAAGCTTATAGTAGCTTGGTCACTAAATGAAGCAAGAGGAATACCTTAGTTCTGTACACTGCACTATGTTATGGAAATTCAAGAAGAGTAATTTGAGAGAGAGTGACTGGTAGCGTGAAGACAACAGCAGCACAAGGGCAAGATCATACAAAGATGGTGCATACATAGAAAGAAAACCAAGCCTAAACCAAAAACTTTAACAAACTCATCTATTTAGTAAGAAATGAAGGAACAGAGATGCAAAAAATCATCTCCCTAACCAAAGGAGAGAAACTTGAAAGTCAGAGAAAAGCCAATACTCAGTGACTCAAAAGCACAGAGCAAAGCCCAGTAGAAACAGCCCTGAGTGACAGATTCTTGAATGGAGAAGAAGTCTGAACTATGTCCTGGTAAAAAGAACCAGGCAGGTTCAAACTACACAAAATGAAATAGCTTTTCCAATGCTGCCCTAAAGGAAGTAATGGTGCTGAACATGAGCTGCCAATCAGCAAAGAGCCAAGGAAGAAAAACAGGAAACACCGGAAACACTACGCGTACTAGTGGCTGTACAAGAATGTAACAACTCTTGTATATATCTCAAAAAAGGAACATATAAACAAGTACTGTACTGAATAGGAAGACTAAACCCAGACAGCCAGGCTGGGAATCAGGGCAGGACTCATCACATGGGAAACAAACAATAATACACAGCCCTCAAAGCTTTTCAGTTTTGAAACAAAGGAAAATAACATTAACACTGGAAAAAAACAGACAAATTGTTACTCACTGGTACAAGATCTGGATGTAGAGAATTCACTGCAATAGCATTGCGACCCTGGAATAGAACCACAACAAAAAACAGACCAAGTCACAATAACATAGCTGAAGATATGACGACCAAACCACACATCAGAAAATGGAAAAGCCTCATCGTTTCTCCATTTTCCGAAAATGTGTGGTTTGATCATCATAGCAAAAATGCGGAATCATGTGGATACAAGCAGATGCAAAGAGCTTCACATATGGAATGCCAATTGTTTAACATATCTAAAGAAAGGATGCTACAGTACTTTTATCTGCCTTCTGTCCCAACCAGGCAAGAGAGAGAGAGAGACCTTCGGGCAGCACATTGTAAACCTCATGAAAGTGGACAACTCTGAGGATGTAAACCATAAAAGTAAACAAAAAAAAGCTACAGCTAGTCTAACATTGTAAAAAGAGACAAAAGGTACATGGAGGAGCCTCCTCCTCCAGGTGATTAATGGACCACCAGCACATTGTCAGAGAGCAGATAAATAACAAAGCTCCCTCATGAGAATATCATGTTTCAGCACAATCCAAACTAGTCATGCAAAAACAAAAACACTTGAGGACAATGTCCCTGGCCCACACACTGATGGCTGGAAACAAAGCCAGACATAGTCCAGAAGATGTACCATATGAGCTCTCAAGGATAAAATGAAAATTGGAAGCTAGCCAAACTATTAAGAATCTCTAGCAGGAAATAGGGAGCCACCTAGGTGCCCCAAACAGATCAGCCACAGCATGGCTGAAGCTGAAAAATCGACTGAAGAGGAACATATCGTTGTCTTTGTAATCTAAAACAGTGACTACACTACATGACAAGCTACATGCATGGTGAGCATCTGGAAGGTTGTACAGGAAATCTGATCATCCCTTGAATGTAAGTGCAAGGTTGACTCAAGGTATGCAGATGTCACCAAACCACAATCCTACCATGGCCTCCCCATAAGTGGGTGGTGCCTATTGACAAACACCTGAAGGAAGAAACTTACTTACTGTCTACTTACAAGCAAAGTAAGCTTTGGTTACTTGGAGAACAGGTATATGAGAGCCTCTACCCATTTCAGTACACAAAAGAGTGCCTCTCAATGAAAAAATTCATATTAACACTTGCCACACCTCTTCATGAAAGAAGAGATTAAAGAAAAGAACATCCCAAAAGACTCCTAGAACTAGCGTATCGGCACCTGGCTATTGAGCAGAGCTGAAGTTGTTGCTGCATCGACATAAAAGCAAGCATTGTACTCGACCCCTACCGGCTATGCCCACTCAGACTAAAGCTGAGAGAAAAGCTTCCGGTAGGCAAGAAATTGAAATAAATATGCTTTGTGGCTGTGAGCCTTGAAGTCTGCAGCAATGAGGTGGTCAAAGAAAGGATGAGCCTGGACATGGAGCTGCCACCTTTTGAGATTGAATGGTACAAATTCGACAATGGCAGACCACTGTCAAATTTGGTTTAAACCTATTTGGTTTATTGTGCTCACCCTAGTTGAAGATTAGATTGTTGGTAGAGTCATCCAATGAGTTACTGGCCAGTACCAATAATGCTTTACTGACTTACCAAGTGATATGCACATCCACCATGCCACATGGAAGATGGGCAGAAACCTTCCTCCACATAGACAATAACGGGTTGCCTACTAATCAAGATGAATTCGAAGCAGAGTACAAAAGCCAGAAAGCAAAAGAACCACTAAACTCAAAAAGATTAGGATACAGTTTTCCCATAGTTCCCATCCCTAAGCAGGAAAAACAAATCTTACCAAGCCAAGCCTCTTTTGAAGGAATGTGAGACTGATGGACTCTGTGGCACACCTGAAGAAGCACCCCTCTCAGAAGAGATAATGACTTACGATGTTGTGCTGAATAATCATCATCCATCATAAGCATTAGGAACCTAGTGCAAGGAGGATATAAGAAACACAGTTCCCTAACCTGGAGAAATAATATTTTTGGTAGGGGAAATAAAGCCAAAGAAGAGTTGACTGAAAACTAGACTGAATCCTCAATCAATGCCCAAGGCTGGACCACCACCTCACCTAAGAAGGAGATGTAGCTAGCAGCTGTGCCCGATCAAGAATCAGAAACCAGTCCTAGGCCAATGCCAAAAGATGAAGAAAAGGCCACATTCCTATTGTAAAATTGGGAGTAGGGGGCAAGGAATGCTCTAGTAGTCAATCT